CGGGGTGAGCTCCCGTTGATCGGTCCCTGCTCCTGCCAACCTAGCAATTCGAATGCACATCAAAGTGCAAGTGTAAATAGGTACTGCTCCAGCAGGAAGGTAAATGGCATTTCCGTTCGCTGCTCTAGTTTGCCAGAAGCTTAGTCATGCTGGCCACATGACCAGGAAGCTGTCTGCGGACAAACACCAGCTCCCTCGGCCATTAAAGCGAGATGAGTGCCACAACCCCAGAGTCGTCCACGACTGGACTTGATGGTCAGGGGTCCCTTTACCTTTACCTAGGTCCACCAAAAGCTGAGGTACATCCTTCTAGTTCTCAAGAAAGCTTACATATGGAGGGTCCCTCAATTGGGACAAGGTGATAATAGCTACCCAAGCTGATAACAACTAGTAGCCCCTTGTTGTATCAGTTAAAATGATGGTTTATAAGGAGGGACTGTGTGTACTTTAAGCTAAAGAAAAAGAGGGGTGGACTTGCCCACTGCAACCCACATTCTAGGTCACAAAAAGCTGCCTTATGCAAGAGTAAAAATTGTGCAATTTTTCACATATTCAGCATAATTACTTTTGCTTCTTCTAGTGTTGAGGAAGAGCAAGGAGCTATCTAGGGTAGCAAAGCCACTGAAAATCTCCATCTGTAAAATCCTCTGGTTTCTGAGCTTTTACAAGGCTACGATCACATAACTGCAAGCTTGCCTTCACGACCATAGGGCTAGAAGCTTGCTTTTTTAGAAAGAGAAAGCTGCCGCAGATCTTAGCCAGATATTCTCCGCTCAAAGCTCCATCTACAAAAGTTCTCCAATGGCCTGTGATTAAGAAAGGCCTATGATCCAAAATGCTGCCTACACTAGTGCCAGTCTTCATTAGTAGAAACAGATTCCTGCCAGAATCTGTTTTGGGTAGGTCCTAGAAGGAATCACGTGGGATGCGGGTGGCGCTGTGAGGTAACCACAGAGCCTAGGACTTGATGATCAGAAGGTCGGCGGTTCGAATCCCCGCGACGGAGTGAGCTCCTGTTGCTCGGTCCCTGCTCCTGCCAACCTAGCAGTTCGAAAGCCCGTCAAAGTGCAAGTAGATAAATAGGTACCGCTCCGGCGGGAAGGTAAACAGCGTTTCCGTGCGCTGCTCTGGTTCGCCAGAAGCGGCTTAGTCATGCTGGCCACATGACCCGGAAGCTGTACGCCAGCTCCCTTGGCCAGTAAACGAGATGAGCGCCACAACCGCAGAGTCGTCCGCGACTGGACCTAATGGTCAGGGGTCCCTTTACCTTTAGAAGGAATCACAGCATGAGGAATTTAAGCAAAGGTGCGCGTGGAGTGTGGATTTGGGAGGGCAGCAAATAGCATAGATAGCACTTTGAAGAATATGTACTATGGAGTGATGATGAGTTTTCATATTAGCTGAATTGAATCCTTCCATCAGAGCGCTTGAAAGGTCCTGGATAACATGCTTATGGTGCCAAAATGGAATTATAATGGGCACTTTGGCTCTGAATGTTGTGTGAGTATGCCTATGAGGACTGAACAGAGCAAATGGTAAAATGCTTGAGGAAATAAAAGAGGACTGGACACAGCTCCTAAAAGCAACGATGGCCATGAGTTCCTTTTCCCAGTTGAAAAAGTCCACATTTCCCATAAACATAGTCTATTTCCTCCCATTCCTGATTATTCTTCTCCAGCAGCACCAGTAAGGTGATTCAAAAGGAGAAAGTAGAGGGACTTCCGGAGGCGGCGCCAACAAGCAATGGCGATCTCCTCGTAACTTTAGAGGAGAGGCTCCGCGAAAATCGGGTCGATCCGCTACGGCGCAGCGGAGACCCCTTTGAAACCCGCAGGCGGAGGAAGCCTGCGGTCGTGGGACTCGGCGGGTGCCTGGAGCGCGCCCCTAAACAGCGTAGGAACCCCGGGAGGGGCTCTGAAGCAGGACGGGGTGGCGCGGCACTGTGAGTCGTCTGCTACTTTCGCGGAGTGAAGCCGTGCAGCTGTTGCTGGAGAGCGCTGACCTTTCTTCCTTGACAATTCGGCTGTCAAAATTACAACCCGTGAGTAGGTTTCACGCTATAAGGATTAAAAAAAATTTTTGAACTAATTTGGCTGAAGCGGGAAGGTGTAAAAAGGAAGTCCACCTCCCGGTCTGTACAAAGATTAAAGCAAAGACTGCGTGAGTTCGATACCAATGACTGCCAAAAGAGACTGAAATACAGACATCTAAGCTAAAAAATTTTCCCCCTATAATTGGACTAGGGGGGGAAGAAGAGACAGTATTTCTTGTTATTTCCTATTATTTCTGAGAAATTTAAAGAGTAAATAAGGAAATAAAGACCACCTCTCAATCCCTGGGGACAGACTGCCAGATTTGGAAAGATTGGACACTTTGTTAGCACTCTAAATAGACAATGTATCTTCTTGCCTTTTAACTTTACAACATTGAAACTTTGGGAAAAAGTTGCCTCTTTGGCTGTTTGAGAGTTTTTATTCTGGATACTTCATTATTTGTGTCCCCCTGGAGGCCAAAGGGGAAAAAGTCTCTAATTGACTGAGGAATTTTCCACCCAACAGCAGCCTGGGAAAGTACAATAACAAAACAACTTTGACTGTGAGAGTGACCTTGACTTTTAGATAAAGTGCCATGGAAGGAAGAGACTTGAGGTCTGGGAAAGGCAGGCAGCAGAGCAATATTGCACAACAGCAACAGCGTAGGCAATCCATCGCTGGGCCACAAGGAGAGGAAGAAGGATTGGCCAGTTTATTTAAAATTGTGAATGAAGGTTTTGAAAAATTGGGTCAACAAAATGCCGAGGCTCTAGAAGCCATTAGACAAAATTCTGCAAGTATTGACAAATTGACTCGACAGACTAATGAAAATACAGATGTGATTAAAAACTATTGGAACAATCTGCTGAAACCCAAAAAACAGCTTTGGAAGCTAGAGAAAAGGCGGTAGCTGCTGAAGAAAAATTACCACCTTTAATTAAACAAGTTGAAGAGCATCATATAAGATTGGGAACGCACCAGGAATTGCTATCTGTCCTTGAGTTAAAGGAGAAACAGACCAATTTAAGGATCAGAGCAGTACCTGAGATTGAGAAAGAGAGCCTGGTAGACTTCTTGACACAAGAATTTGCCAACTTTTGGCAATTGAATGATAAGGAAGATTTTAAGATAACGTCTGCTTTTAGGCTTGGAAGAAGAGCAAGGAAAAATAGAGTGAGAGACTGCCTGATTACCTTGCGATCAAAGGAGGAACGAGATAAAATTCTGAGCCTACATTATCGAAATACATTGACAATACAAGACTCAAGGATAGAAATATTCAAAGACATTCCTAAGCTCCTTTTGGAGCTCAGGTCTAACTATCGGGACCTGGTGACGTTGCTGAGAGGAAATAGAATTTTCTTCAGGTGGGAGTTCCCTCAAGGCCTATCTTTCAGTTTTAAAGGCAAGAAAATTAAAATAAAATCTGTGGAGGAGAAACAGAACTTTTTGAGAGACCACCAAGAGGACCTACAAAAAGGATTGGGGGAGGAGCTAGAACCCCCTTTAACAGGATCAGATCCTACATTACCACCGTTGGGAGAGGATAAGACAGAGAAGGCGAAACCACCAACAGAGGAAGAAGAGTTATTGGGAGCAGTTGGAGGGAAATAAAGAAATCATCATGGCTCTGCAACTTTTAACTTGGAATGTTTGTGGCCTGAATTCCCCGGAAAAAGGAGGAAAGTATTTCATATACTTAAAAAGAACAATTGGACTTAATTTGTTTACAGGAAACCCATGTGATGAGGCTTCACAGGAAAATATTGATTAATAAGAGACTGGGTCAAGAATTTATTTCATCAGACAAAGTTAAAAAACGAGGAGTGGTTATTTACGCAAAGGAGAGCCTCTCACCGAAATTTGTTTTTAAAGATGAACAAGGAAGGTTCATAGCAATTGAAATTCAAGTACAAGGAGAAAAATTTTTGATAGTAGGTGTATATGCACCAAATGAGGGGAAATCTATATTTTACAAAAAGTTGCATGAGATCTTGATGGACTATATGGACTATAACACTGTTTTCATGGGAGATATGAATGGGGTGGTTTCTACAAATATGGACAAGTCACAAAGAGAGGTAGTTACTAAAGATGGTAGACTACCGAAAACATTCTTTGAACTAACTGACAATATGGATTTGATTGACATCTGGAGAACTAAGAACCCCTTGATAGAGAAGGAACCTTCTTTTCTGAAGCCCAAAAGACATGGACAAGAATTGACCAAATCTGGACTACTAGAGGACTGGCACCCAAGGTTAAGAAGGTAGAGATCTGCCCAAAAATATGCTCCGACCATAACGCCGTGAGAATGGAGATGAAGTTAACATCTATTGGTTCCTTCCGATGGAGGATGAATGACACCTTGTTTAGAGATCAAGAGGTGATTAAGAAGGCCCAAAAGACATTGAGGGACTATTTTGAGATAAACTTGAATACAGCTGTAGAAAAAAAGAGTAATTTGGGACGCAAGCAAAGCTGTTATGAGGGGCTTCCTGATTCAACAGAATTCAATTAAGAAGAAGGCCCAAAACGTAAAGAAAGAAAAAATTCTGGAAAAAATAAAGGAGGGCGAGAAGAAATTGAGAGTGAAGCCCAATTCACAAGAGATTCTGAGGGAAATAAAATTGCACCAAGTGCAATATATGAAATTAATAAATCAAGAAGTGGAATGGAAAATTAAACAAATGAGACAAAAGACTTTTGAATCGGCAAATAAATGTGGGAAATTGCTGGCTTGGCAGTTGAAGAAACGACAAAAACTTAATACTATTACTAATTTGGAAGTGGAAGGGAAAAATATCCAGAATCCAGAAGAAATTAGGAAATGTTTCCAGAGATATTTTAAACAATTATATACACAAGGGCCTCAGAAAGAATTTGAGATAGAGCAATTTTTGAAAACTAATGGATTACAAAAAATTTCTCAGGATAACAAGATATTGTTGAATTATAAAATTACAGAACAGGAGGTTGAAGGTGCCATCCAGAATATGCAGTTGGGAAAATCTCCAGGACCGGACGGTTTAACCTCAAAATATTACAGAACTTTGAAAGACTGGTTAATTCGACCATTAACTGAGGTTTGTAATGAAATTCTAGAGGGGAAAAGAGCGCCAGAGTCGTGGAAAGACGCATTTATTACACTTATACCAAAGGTTGAGACTGAAAAGACACAGCTTAAGAACTACCGGCCCATATCCCTGTTAAATGTGGATTACAAAATTTTTGCTGATATCTTAGCAAAAAGGCTTAAAAAAGTGCTAAATGGAGTGATTCACAAGGACCAAGCTGGCTTTCTTCCAGATAGACATCTTTCGGACAACACAAGGAACATAATTGATATTCTGGAGAAGCTGCAAGAGGAGATCAATACTAAAGCAGTTTTGATTTTTGTGGATGCAGAGAAAGCCTTTGACAATATTTCTTGGAGTTTTATGAAGAAAAATCTTCAGGGGATGGGGGTAGGCCAAGAGTTTGAAAATGGTATAAATGCAATTTATTCAGAGCAAAAAGCTAAATTAATAGTTAACAATGTGATAACAGAGGAAATTAAGATAGAGAAAGGGACACGACAAGGCTGCCCAATTTCCCCATTACTTTTTATTTCTGTTCTGGAGGTTTTGTTAAATATGATAAGAAGGGACCATTTGATTAAGGGTATAACGGTCGGAGCGAAACAATATAAACTGAAAGCATTTGCAGATGACCTTGTATTGACATTACAGGAGCCAGAATCTAGTACGAAAAGAGCATTAGAACTGATTCAAGAGTTTGGTCAGGTGGCAGGTTTTAAGCTGAATAAGTTTAAAACTAAAGTACTTGAGAAGAATTTAACACTGATTGAAAAAGAGAGGTTTCAGAATGAGACAGGTTTAACAGTGGTAAAAAAAGTGAAATATTTGGGGATTCACATGACAGCTAAAAATGGGAATTTATTTAAAGACAATTACGAAAAGTGTTGGTCGGACATTAAAAAGGATTTAGAAATATGGACAAATTTGAAGCTTTCCTTGTTAGGTCGAATTGCTGTCATCAAGATGAATGTATTGCCAAGAATGCTGTTTTTGTTTCAATCGATACAAATAATAGATAAAATGGACTGTTTTAAGAAGTGGCAGAGAGATATTTCTAAGTTTGTCTGGCAGGGCAAGAGGCCCAGGATAAAATTTAAAATATTGACTGATGCTAAAGAAAGAGGGGATTTGCCCTGCCAGACTTTAAACTTTATTATGAATCAGCAGCTTTCTGCTGGTTGAAGGATTGGTTACTTCTGGAAAATACTGATGTTTTGGACTTAGAAGGTTTCAATAATGTGTTTGGGTGGCATGCATATTTGTGGTATGACAAGGTTAAAGCTCACAAAATATTTAAAAACCATATTGTCAGGAAAGCATTGTTCAATGTCTGGATAAGATATAAAGACTTATTGGAAAATAAAACCCCAAGGTGGCTATCACCAATGGAGGCAAAGGCCCTAAAAAGTCCAATATGGAGGCCAAGTGGCCAAAATATTGGGAGATCTTGGAACAAGAAGGAGATAAATTCAAATTGCAGAGTTTTGAAAAATTAAAAGATAGAGTGCGAGACTGGTTGCATTACTATCAAATAAGAGAGGTTTATAATTTGGATAGAAAAATTGGCTTCCAGGTGGAAAAATCAAAGTTGGAAACAGAACTGTTAGATCCCAAAACTAAAACACTTTCAAGAATGTATAACTTGCTGCTAAAATGGAATACTCAGGATGAAACGGTAAAATCTGCTATGATTAAATGGGCACAGGATGTTGGACACAACATTATGTTTGCTGACTGGGAACGGTTATGGACCACAGGTACGAAGTTTACAGCATGTAATGCTTTAAAAGAGAATATAATGAAAATGGTGTACAGGTGGTACATGACCCCAGTCAAGCTTGCAAAAATCTATCACTTGCCCGATAATAAATGTTGGAAATGTAAAGAAACTGAAGGTACATTCTTTCACCTTTGGTGGACGTGCCCAAAGATTAAGGCTTTCTGGGAAATGATATATAATGAATTAAAAAAGGTATTCAAATATACCTTCCCTAAGAAACCAGAGGCCTTTCTCCTGGGCATAGTCGGCCAATCGGTGTTAAAAAAGGATAGAACTTTCTTTATGTACGCAACAACAGCAGCAAGAATTCTCATCGCAAAGTATTGGAAGACACAAGATTTACCCACTCTGGAAGAATGGCAGATGAAGGTAATCGAATATATGGAACTGGCTGAGATGACTGGCAGAATCCGTGACCAGGGAGAAGAGTCGGTGGAAGAAGATTGGAAGAAATTTAAAGACTATCTACAGAAATACTATAAAATTAATGAATGTTAAATTGAGGTCTGACTGAAAATAACTGGTATTGGCAAAAGTCTTGTGATTAAGAGCATGGAATATTTGATGGATAAAGCTGTAATATTTATATATAAATAGATTAACTTTGAGTTAAGATAAAGAAAGGAGGGTAAGGATTTGCTGAAAGGAGTTTTTAAATGGAAATACAAGCGGGGAGATGCGGGGAAGTCAAAGAATTAGGTAATGATAAGAAGGTTAAATGAAAGTATATTATTTTTTAAATTTTTCTGTCTCTTTTTCTTTTTTTTCTTTTTCTTTTTGTGTTATGGATATTGTTATCTATGTTTGTATTTTGTTATGGTTATTGCTGTTTTCTGTTTGTCGAATTTTTGTATTTTTCTACATCTTTTGGAATTTGTTTTTGTAAAACCAATAAATATTATAAAAAAAAAAAA